TTTTTTTTTTTTTTTTTTTTTTTGGGGGGGGGGGCTTCCAGCACATCAATCTACAGGACTCCAGGTGTGTGGCTATATATGTTTTGTCCTTTTTTTTCTTTCTTTCACACACACAAACACTTTCTTTTCTTTCGCTTTGTGCTTCTTCACTGTTCTTGTTGTCCTTGAACCTCGCACCCATAGCAAGTACATAGCTGTAAACGGGATCTATAACACATAGATGCCGTCACGGAAGGCACCCTCAAAGCTGGTGCCATCAGGATAGCTAAGTCGGCCCTGGCCGTGCGGCCTGCCGGCGCACATGTCACCCTCGTAGACACTTCCGTCTAGAAAATGGAGCCTCCCGCGCACATCCATGCGGACACCTTCGCGCCACTCACTCTCCAGCGTCTCGCCACGTGCGTCAGTGAGAGAACCACGTCCATGCGGCTTGTCATTGGCCCACTCGCCCACGTAAATGGCGCCGTTGGCGTACCGTTGTGTTCCCTTGCCACAACGCCGCCCATCCTTCCATTCGCCATCGTATGTGTCACCGTTGTGGTACTTACACAGAACCTCGCCATCCTGTGGAGCTCCCTGGTGCCACGTGTGACGTACAACGTCCCCGTTGGGAAGCAGTGTGGTGCCAACACCCTGCCGCCGACCATCCATCCACGTCCCCTCGTACGCATCCTTGTCAGAACGGGATTTGCCAACACTCTGCAATTTACCAAGCAGAAACAAACCCTCGTAGGTACTACCAGTCTTCGCGTCAAAACCAATACCGGGTCCAACACGGTCATTATCCTTCCAGTTGCCTCTATACATAGATCCATTTGGGCCCTGGTGCAATCCTTGGCCGCAGCGAACATCGTCCCGGAACTCTCCATGATATACACCGTGATCATCCTTCTGTATGCCAAGGCCATGCCGCTTACCCTTGCACCACTCGCCTTCGTACACACATTTCCCTCCAGCCTCAATCATCTTGCCAAATCCGTGGCGTTTGTCACCGCTCCAGTGTCCTATGTATTCATCCCCATTGCGGTACGTGCAGCGTCCTTCACCTTCGCGGAAGTAAAGCTCATCATTCCAATCTCCAACGTATACCTCACCATTCGGAAAAGTGAATGTTCCACCCTGCCGCACATCGTTCACCCACGTCGCAACACACACCACACCATTCACAAACGTCATTTTTCCTTCTCCTGTGCACTTATCCATATCCCAAGTTCCCTTCAAAACGTTTCCAGGAGTATCCGTAAAGCTACCTTCACCGTGACGGCAGTCGTGGCCCCACTGGCCCACGTAGCAGGACCCGTCCGCGTAGTTCGCTGTGACCTTCGAAGACAGCATGTCATCTTTCCAAGTTCCATGAATGACGACGCCATTTGTGTAGATAAACACGCCTTCACCAGACCGTACATCGCCCTCCCACGCCCCCTGGTACCGCGTTCCGTCTGGAGAGAACATCTTCCCAAAGCCGTGCTTCTTATCGTCTAGCCACTCGCCCTCATAGCGGAGGCCATGACGCGTGTTCATCACGCCAAATCCCTCCCGCTTACCTGACCTCCACATACCCCAGTACGCCCTGTCAGCCCACTGGTACACGCCGCGGCCTTCCTTCTTCCCGTTCACCCACTCCCCATCGTACACCTCAACGGATGGGAAGGGCAACGAAAGAATAGACCAGCCCACGTCTTTGCGAGCGACGTCTAACATCCCACTCTCCAACAATGGTGTGAAGTCTGGTTGCCACGACACTGCCTCACTCTGCTGCGGCAGGCTGCGGCCACTCCACCTTGCTGTGCCATCCTGCGCTGCCTCTGGGGCCACACCGTAGATGCAACGACCACGGCCATGGTAGGTGCATCCCAACCACCTGCCGTAGTACAAGGCACGATTGGCGGCGGAGTACCACTCTGCCTCGTACTGCTCCTGTAGCGTCAGCCGAAGACGAATGTATGTATTCCCGCTGGTCTCCACGTAGCGCACGGCAAGGTAGAGCGTCCCGACCTGGTACGACGGATCCGCTGGCAGCACACTCATTGTCTTATTTTGGTCGGGCGACAAGCATTTCCACACGGCGGTGTGCTTGCTGGGTCTCGGGTCCGTTGGGCTGAGCAACAGCACGCACCGCGCAGCACTGTTGAACTCCTGGAACTCAAACGTCACCTGGCAGGGCGTGTCAACCGCAATGGAGAAGAAGAGCGCCGGGTTCGTTGCACCGATGCGAACATCGCACAACTCCGTCCCGGGAATTAAAGGTACTGGACTCTTGTCTTCCGTAAAGGACATCATGCCTTCACGCTTGGTATCACTCAAACAGATGAAGAAGAAGGATGCACAACACAACAAAAAAAAAATTAAGAGCAGTGCCCAAGATATATTCTCCCCCCTTTCCTCTCCTCTCTCAGACACACATCTCTACAACTGCCTACCACTTATACCGCAACCCGTGCGGCATTAAGACGATTACTCCACAACGCAACTTACTTTGGTGACGCACAATGAAAAAAAAAAAAGAACCAATAAGTAATAGTAGAAAACCGAGGAGGAAAGCAAAAATGTGCCATCTTTAATTTTTTGTTGTATTAGCTTGAGAGTGGCACTTCTTTTTCTGCTTCTGATTTCGGTCACACTCATGATATGGTGTTGAAATTGTTCCTCTATCTTCCACCTTTTTTTTTCCCCCTTGTTATTTTTTTTT